TGGCGTGAGAGCTTCTCTTTTGGAGGAGCAAGTTCTCCCACTTGGGAGGAGGAGCCAATCAGACCCTTGAGGCCCCCTGCTATGGGGACAGCTCTGCTCTGAAACCTGGCATAGGCTCACCCAGGGGCACCCGAGGGCCAGGGCCTGGCACAGGAGTAGGGCTGCTCTCCCATGCCCGGCTGGGCTGTCCTCCAGCAGGTTGTGCAATCTCGCTATGAATAGGTCTGGGTGTGTGGTTTGGGGCCAAGAAGACCAGACTTGTTTCCTTCGGAGTGACAGCTCCCCTCTGGAATTGTGGGAGGTGAGGGAGCGCAGCTGTGAGGTCAGGCTTCTGACCCTGAGAACGGGCGGTCCAAGCTGGTGGTGTGAGGGGTGGAGTCTGTGGCCAGACTGGATGGACAAGTTGTCGGCATGATTCTTCTGTGTGTGGAAATCAACTGAGGCCTTCTGCCTCCCCAAACCTCCTGAGCCTCCCTCCCATCCTTCACCCCTCCTTCTCAGCAGTCCAAGCCCTCCTTACCTTAGGAACAGGCTTAAAACAAAAAGTTTGGAGGGGGAGGGGAAAAACAGATTTGCAATTTTATTTCATTTTGCAAGGAAAAAGCCTGGGCTATCTGATTCCTAAGCCTGGGCTCTTTATAAAAAAAAAAAATTTCTTTTAGACACAGGGTCTTGCTCTGTTGTCCAGGCTGGAGTGCAGTGGCGTGATCATAGCTCACTGTAAGACCTGGCCTCAAGCTATCCTCCCACCTGGGCCTCCCAAAGAGCTGGGATTACAAAGGGGAGCCACTGCGCCACAACTGCATTTTTAAAATGTCAAAAATATGAGATTTTCCTACATGATTGGTGTAAGTGGTGTGAACTGGCACACTGGAGGACAATTTGGTCAACCTTGATCAAATGTATACACCCTTTGTGACGGGTGCACCAAAATCTCAGAAATCACCACTAAAGAACTTCATGTAACCAAAAACCACCTGTTCCCCAAAAATGACTGAAATAAAAGTTTTAAAAATGTATTACCCTTTGACCCAGCAATTCCATGTTTGGGCACTAATTCTACAAAGATTCTTGCACATGTATGAAATAACAAATGTGTAAGGTTACTAGTTGTAGTGTGGCTGGTAATAACAAACATCCACGAATAATCCAATGTCCAGTATCTATCAACAGGGAACTACTGGTTAAATCAATGATGACACATTAATACAATGGAATACTATATAACTATAAAAAGAATGAGGAAGGTTTCTATGTATTAAAATCTCCTCCATCTTGGGGAAAATAATTTAAAAAGCTAGATGCCCATGTATATACAGCGTGTATGATGTACATTTTGTGTAATAAGGGGAAAGTAAGAATCTGTGTTTTTATTACTTGTAGGTACATAAGACATTCTGGAAGGAAATGTAAGGAATTCTGGGGTGGGAGGAACTAAGCAGACAGAGGACAAAGATGGGAGGAAAACATTCCCAGTGTGTGTCTTTTCATGCTTTCTGGCTTTTGAATCATGTGAATGCACTACCTTTCAAGATATTACTTTAAAAACAAAGTACAACAAAATGAAGATAATTCTGCGAAGAAATGCCACGACTCAATTGTCCTCCTACAATGGACATGTGTCATTTCGAGGGCATGTTCCAGCATGAGAACTGCCTTCCTACTTGGAGTTACCCACTAGGTGCGTCTTAGTGGGAGGAAGAGTCCCTCCCCGTCCCTTACAGACGGGGCCATGCCTTCCTGATCCCTACTCCTGCCTGCTTGGGCTCAGGTGCAGCTCACACGCTATCCACCTCTGGTGGCAATACCAAGGGCCTGAGTCCGGGACACAAGAATTATTTTTACATTTTATCTTTTAGCGCTTCTCCCAGCCAATTTTACACTACTAGGTATTATTTGTATTCTGCTTTTTTCTTGTATCAACATATAAGGTTACAATATAAGAGCAATAATTACCCTTCTAAGCATGTATCCAAAATGAGTGCTTTTTACATAGATGCATAGTTTTCATAATTATTGTTTTGATAGATACATAATACTCCTTTCTTCTGATTAGGTACTTCCTATACTGTGATATCCAAGATGTTAATAGGAGGAAGTTAAGAAAACCCAAGGTGATGAAGATACAAATTTGTAACAATACTATTCATTTGTCAGTGAGATTCCTTCAATAGTATAGTCACCTCATCACCTCTACTTCTACTCCCCAGTATCCTTCCCTCATCTTACTCCTTACTCCCTCCAGTCTCAGTCAAAGCCAGCCTCTCCCAATTGGTTTTTATAAGCTATATTTATGTAAGTATAATACACTCCACTTTGATAAAATGGTACACCAGGTGAAGAGTTGAAATCCAAACCCTGTTGCCTCCCTCCTCTAGACTTAACCCATTACCAAATTTCTTGTGATTTCTTCCAGATCAGAGCTTCCCAACTTGGTTGCAGGGGTGTGAGCTATGGCTCCCGTAGCCCATAGGGCGATCTCCAGGGCCTGTGGCTGGGAGAGCCGAGGTGGTCACCTGAAACCCGAAGCAGTTTTCTCCGCCTTTCCAGTGGGGCGCATAAACATCACTCTCTGTGGGGGCCAGGCTGTGAGAACAGTTCTAGAATTACCATGCTTTCTCATTTCCTCATCTTCCTTCTAGAATCCATCCCTACAGTGTGCCCTGGGGCCCTTCCCAAAGGCCAGCTCTGACCAGGCCACCACCCTGCTGGTTTCCCATTCTCGATCAAACACTCCAAGCTCCTTGGTCTCGAGTTTTCTGGCAACCTTCTTTTCTTGCCTGACTTCTCACCTTCTTTGAACTCTTTAAATCCCAAACAAGCTCACCTCTCAGTTTCCTGAGCATGTTCCAGTCCTTCCTGTCTTTGGAATTCATCACTTCAGCCAGAAAGCCTGATTCGTTTCTGCTTTTTAGCTCAAATCTTAACTTCCTCTGTCCCTCCACCCTATCCTTAGCAGCATTCATGGGACTCAGGTGCTCAAGTACATGCCAGCAGTCCTACACACTCCAGCTCAGCCTCTTCAACTCATCTCACCAACACAAGCACAGCGCCTGGCACACGCGGGTGCTGGTGGAGGAATGATCATAGGATGCCGAGGAGATCCTGTGCCAATACCAGCAGGGCATTGGGATTTCTCCTCCCAAAGTGTGAGTGGAGATGTTTGTCGTGTGTTTCTAGCAAGTCCTCAGAGAAGGTAGGCAAAACTCAACAGTTCTGAGCCATTACTATGTGATGGTTGGCAGGCAGAACTACACACACACACACGCGCGTGCACACACATAATCTAATTTTCTTCCAGTCTTAAATGTTGCTGGCGGTCTTCCTCTTTCAGCTTTTAAACGAGGAAAATCCGGGGGAAAGGACTCTTCCTCCTCCTTCAAATGCGTCTGTTCCTCTGGGCCCAGCACCATTGCTTTTCTTCGACGGAGAGGAAAGCAGAGCTGGAGTGGGCCCCTTTTCTGAGTGCTTCCCTCTCACTTCCACCCCTCAAATACTCTCCCCTGCTGGCTCCCACCACAGGGCTGCAAGCAGCTCAGGGCACCGCAGACTGCACCCCACCACCAACCCACAGCTGTCCCTCTACTTCCCATGTCTCAGGGTTGGGGTTGTGGGTGACTGTGGCTGTGTCGGGGGATGACTGTATGCATGTGTGTGTGTGTGCCTGTGTCTGGCAGATGGTGGCTATGAATTCTCTGCCTGGGACCCCTGTATCCTAGCTGTGGTGTGGGTGACTTGGCTGATACACATCAAAGTAACGTCTGCTGGCCTAAAGCTTTGCCCTCATTATTGAATAAACTGCACAATCATGTGTGTCTGAGATTAACTAGTCCAAACTCTTCCTCTTTTAAACAGGAAGCCGAAGCAGGAGAGTATCAGCAGCTGGCCCTTTATCCCTCCAGGTGGAGCAGACAGATCCCTCCTAGACCACACACTCTTGCAGGGCAGGCGCAGATCCTCGTTCTCCTGGTGCCCATCACAAAGGCTGGCCCACTGCCACAGTGGAAATGGGCTTCGTAACTGTTGGTCGTTAAATTAACTTACTGGTTTTTGGTTGCATTTTTACCTGGTTTTGGAGAACTCTCTACTAAGAATCTTGTCATAACTGGTATTAGAGTTCCATCTTTAATCCTCTGGAAGACAGAATAAAAGTTGGAAAGTAATCTCTAGTGAACTACCCATCCCTAGTAGGCTTTGGCATTAGGAGATGGTGAAGTTTTACCTTTGTAAGTAATTAAAACAATGGTGAGGAAAAACTTATGAAAGCATGAGTCTCCACCAATACAGAATTTATCCCAATTCCCAACTTTAAAATCTTTCACCTCCCTGATCTGAAGTAAGAACCTATTATGTGGGACCTTAAAGTAGACCCTGCTTATTCTATATCATCTGAATAACTTTTATATGGCTATTAAAATGAAACACACAATCCATACTACTAAGAATAGTTTTACAATAGGTGGAGTTCCTTCTCACTTAACTCAGGAGGCCCTAAAGGTACACACAGAGGAAATGTTTACTGTTGCCACCAGAAACCTGAAGTGTCGTGTCTCACTTTCAGTATGCAGGCCGGGCAGGAGGGCACTGTGGCCGACCAACGTTCCTGTGTTGGACTCACGTGAGGAGGACCTCATCCAGGTCAAGCAACTGACAAGTTAAAACCTCAGATGCTCAGTGAGGGCTGTCTCTAAGTCCCAACTCCCTACTTATTCCAAGCTTCCTGGGCAACATGACTCAGAGCACACCAAAAGTGGCTATCAGCCACCATGAACTACGCCATAAATCTGCCTTTATTAAGTTGTCTGTTGTCTGTGGAGGTCAGAAGTGGGCCAGAGAAAAAGTGTACTAGGTTCATTTAAAGATTTCGCGATAGTCTCTGAGCTCTGTGCCTCTCCCAGCCTGCGGGGGAATTCCACAGGGAGACCTTGAGATAAACTGCCATTTTATTCCTAGGGTTCAAGAAAGGGGGAGGGAGAACAAAGAGACTTCTTGGAGTAAGACAGAGTGTCACTGATGCTTTATTTACATGCGTCACCATCTCTTTTACAAACTAGATTACGGTTTTAAGTGGAATACACAAGGCAATATCTACAAACACCAAGGAAAGTAAGTACTGCATCTCTATTTCATTTGGAAAGGGGAAGATACCCAAATCAAACTGGTTTTGATCCTTAAGAAAGGCGGCAGAGTTAATTCATGGCAACATATGGTTAGACAAAATCCTCAGTAAGAATGCCATATGATAGTGTTCGCATTGAAAGAAGGATGAGGTGCTTCAAATCAAAGTCTGAACTGCTTGACTCTCAGGTGTTTAAATATGGCCACGCACCATATTTAGTTCTAGATTACATGGGGTATGAGCAAGGAATTGAAACAGGTAAGACAGTTTTTACAGATACTGTATACAGATTTTTTTTCCATTCATGCAACTTTTTTCTTAAAAAAAGTTAAACATGTGAAGCCAAAATGCACAATACATTTTTTTAAATATTAACTAATTTTTCTGGTCCTCCTTCACATTTGTTTACATTTCCCATGTACATAATGTGCTAGGACAAGTATACAAGAGAAGACTGATTGCCAGGCAATGAGATAATTTTAGAGAAATAAGTGACCAGACACATAATTCTTAAAAGCAGCCGCACACGTATTTCTGGAGTGTGGCAAGAGGCCTCATGACCAATCATTCATCAAAGAAAAATATAAACAGATACAACTAAACAAGAGGAAAATATTCCATTTGTTTCAATTGCATAAAATGTTACCCACTTAAGATTCAGATAAAATATAATATACTCTTTTATTTGGGCATCTGCTTTAAGATCTCATTTGACAGGCATGATTCCATCAGAACTTCACCTCCCATAGTAGTACTCTGCCTCTCCGGTCTGCAAGAGAGGCTGGCTTTTTCGTACCTCTTTACTGGTGATTGCATTTCTACCAAAAAAAAAATTTTTTTTTTAAAAAACATTATGCCTAATCATACAATGTTCACCCAAATACAGCAAGAAAAATAAAACTAGAGTTCAGAGCTTTCAGGGTTTCCTTTTTGCTTTGAGAGAGGATGAATAACATTTTTTTTTTTTTTTTTTGACGTGGAGTTTCACTCTTGTTCCCCAGGTTGGAGTGCAGCGGGTGTGATCTTGGCTCACTGCAACCTCCGCCTCCTGGGTTCAAGCGATTCTCCTGCCTCAGCCTCCAGAGTAGCTGGGATTACAGGCATGCGCCACTATGCCAGGCTAGTTTTGTATTTTTAATAGAGATAGGGTTTCTCCATGTTGGTCAGGCTGGATAACATTTTTATTTCCCCTCGCAAGCCCTTTGCACCAACATGGAGGACTTCTTTTTGACTGCTTTATTCTTCATGGTCTTTTCCAAGAGATTCAAATGCTCCTTATTCTTTAAGTGGGGTTCACTAGGCAGAGGCAAAATCTGTCTCCACCATCTTTAAACTGTGTACAAGTTTGGAAGTCACCTGAAATCACACCCTGAGCAGGGCATACTTGTCCTGAGTAGTAAGCCATGGTGTCCTCTCCTCAGGGTGGGGAAGCAACACACACAATGCTAAAAATCAACACCAAAAACAAACACAAAGTCTGCCTTGTACTACACATGTGTGAATGATCCTCCCATTAACAGGAGTGACAAACTTCTGAATTTTTAAAATGTGTTTCAGCAATCATTATATCACAGAGGATGCAATCAAGGAAACCAAGCTCAGATTCATTCACAGTTAATGGGGTACACTGAGCCTGGCAGCCAGTTCTCATGCCAGGACAGTGAAGGCTTGTGATAAAGCTCTTTCCTAGCTTTGGTAACAGGTATCAGGTTCTGGAGCCCTGAAGAGAACAGCAGATCCCAAGAGCGCATGTCATGTTTTCAACATTAGGTACTCTTCTAATTTCTCATCAAAAAGTAGGTGGCTCCCTAGAGCAGCTTATTTAGAGGCTGAGGGTGGCCTCCAATAGTTTGCATCATAAATCAAACATTAGAGCTGCCAGCCCCTTGAGGCTAAGCGTTCTGCTGATATGCTCCAGATCAGAAAATTCTTGTTAGGGACCTGTGACACTCACTCAGGATGTGACATGGTGGCCAACAGTTGGCCTGTCCTGAAAGCAGGGTCTCAATATAAGGGGCAGAGGGCTCAGGCAGCACCCCTGCCCAGCCTGACCACTTTAGAACCGGGCTAGTCTCTGGGGGCCTGGCCTTTCTGTAGGTGGCTGAGGGTGAGGGTGCCGGGACCCTAGACAGGCTTCACTACCAGATCCTCGGCTGACCCTCTCCAGGGGCTGGCAGGTCTCACGGTACTTATGCTGCACTTGACTTTGCCCTGGTCTCAGCTCTCCACAACACTCTACATGTAGATGCTGTTTCAGTTACTTGAAGAAGAAAAAAACAAAACAAAACAAAAACCCAAAGCATTCCCTCTTCATTTTCCTGATCTGTTTTGTGCTGCCTTGCCCTTGTACCTCCTCTGTCCCTTCCTCAGCTGTTTCAGATTAAATGATAATCTGGTTCTAGGACATTCTGTAAGACATTCTGCCTGAAATCCAACAAACACTAGAAAAGGAGAATAAATGCGATACCACGGGTCTGAAAAGAATTCAACATTTTAAAGTTGAAACACATTGGAGGGTTGCCTTTCTCACTCCCAAAGTGGCTCCCAGGGTCTGTAAAACTGCAAAGGCAAGCAGCTATTTTGTTAGTTACTTTGCATGTCTCTCTGAACTCAGGACAGAAGTTCTCAGGACCCTCATGCTGGAAGCACTCTGGAATTCTCCTATCCCCCCACCCTTTTCCATCTCACTCCCTACTGCAGCCCCCATGCTACTACTGCCTCTGCGATGCATCCCCACCCAGGGCAGCATCCTTTAGGAAGCTTGGAGAGGCAACCCTCCTTCACTGCTACTGGAAAGTTCCTGCATACAGCACACTACTAAAGAATCCAGGAAGTGGCTAGCATTATTATAAAGGAATATAGTAAGCAAGTCTGGCTCACTGACAAGCAGAACATATGAATAGAATACATACTTTAAAAAATTATACATACTTTAAAAATGAAGATTATAAACGTGTAGCAGTTTAGAAAAGGCAATGTGCTACAGGTCTACTATAACCACAATTGCACAACAATTTACAGATTCAGTAAAAGGCAGGGTGAAATCAACAGGGCCATCGCTCAAACATGGCAACCCAAGCGAGGCAGGAGACGTGTGACAATACCAAATGGAACTCTCATTATGCTAGGAGCTGTGATCACCACCAATATCACCCCCAGAGGAGTTATAAAGCCAAGGCGCACAAGGGGGCCCCTGGTGGCCGGTGGTGTGTGCAGGGGGTTGGGTGGCACGTCTGTGTTGGTGCCCACTGTCACGGTGCAAGCATCAGCAAGAACTCAAGCAGGGAAGTCTGTGCTGAAATACTAGCCTGTATTCCTAAGGCCCATGCATAAGGTTCCATTTTTGTACTGTACATGATAAAATATATTTATACATTTATATGCCTAATGCTTCTTATGCAAAGAAAAGAGTCTTCATATATCACTTTGGAGAAGTATGCATATGCTGTGCTAATCAGAGCATCATTACACCAATTTCATATGTACCAAAGGTGGTCCCAACTATTCCGTCTACCAAAGAAGGTAACGAATATAATCACACTTTCCAGGTTAAACAGAAAGCACCTATACAGCACCATAACTTTTTGAAAACACAACAAAATGAAATCCATAGAAGCAGAAAAAAAAAGTTAAAACTGCCCTATTTTGTACTTCCATTGTGTCACTTGTACAATTACAACCTAAGCTTATATTTAAAAAATCAGTTTGTATGCTATTGCCTCTCACTCATACACTTCTAGCAGATCAGATTATACACAGCAAGGCTGAAAATAATCAAGGATGTGTATTAGGAAAACAGTGAAGTTAGAACTGCCTCAGCATTGACTTGGGTTTTTACTCTTCACACATTTCTCACTGCAAGCTTAATGCTCACCTGTAAGTTCATTTGTTCTGCAAAACAAAACAGGACTTTTTTTTTTCTTTTCTTTCTCCTTAAAACTAAACCCTTTAGTGGCATTTGGCAATGAGTGGAGAGCTGAGCTGATTTCTTTCCTGAAAATATTAATATCCTAGTTTCTAACCAGCAGACCAACACTGTTCACATTAGCTAAAGACACTGACAGGAGATCACAGGCCCTACTGATCTGGCACCTGTAGACCTGGTGCTGGGGTCCTGTCCACAGATCACCCTGACTCAGAACTGGAAACACACTGGGCCGGACGCTGTGCTCCACTCGTTTTGCCTATGCATGGTTCAGTCCTGGACGGGTGCACATAGCAAACAATTGTGCCATTGTTCAGTTTTTAGAAAAGGATAATTTTCTACCAAACGAAAGAAGAAAGAAAATCCCCCTTTAGTTTATGTAATTTGTTAGTTTATGGAGTTCCATGGGCTCAAAAGCTTGTGATGCTCGAACCCGGAATGGTAACTGGTACAACATTTTCCTTCTGTTTTTAAATTTGCTAGGGGATGGACGGTTAACATTTTAACAGAAAAATACCGCAAGTTAATGCATGTGAAAAACTCAGAAAGTCAAAGGAAAACAAACACAAGAACAACACTTAAAACATCCTATAAACCATCGCAATATTAAAACACCACAGAATGGCCGACGGGGGCTCACGGTGTGCTCTGAACGAGGGTGGGTGGTGCTGAGGGGTGCTGTCCTCCACTGGCAGGCGGCTCACCACCCCGTACAAGGAAGATTTTGCATACTTTTTAGAGTTCTGTTCCAAGGGTAAGTGCTTCACCCAGGGTAAGGGGCCATTAACAGTCTCTGCTGGGTTAGGAAAATGGCGTGGGATTCACAAAGGTGTTAAGCTGTAAACGGTATCACTGTCCACTTGCTGAGAGCAGATTTGGCAAAGGGTTTTCTCTGTAGGTCTTGTGTCAGTTTGAGGGTCTAAAGGAGGAGAAAAGAAAACCAGAGATTAAGGGCATTGCAACAGCAACAGTGGACACCTGAGGGCCACCTGTCAAGGCCTCCCATCTCCCTCACCCACCTCAGAGCCCAGGGCTGGCACAGCAAAGCTGCTCTGCTACACCAGTTTCAAAGGTCTGAAATCCTAAGGACAAAGCACAAAGACTACTTACCTTATTTCTTATGTTGTTCTTATTACAAAATGCTCTGAAGTTGAAAAGCCCAAAGGGAATGCGATCATTCATTTTGGGAGATTAACAAAGTCAGTCATATTAGGGGTGTTTTGGGGGTTCTTTTTAGACATTCAAGGTACAGATAAGATTCTGTTCTAGACTTCTGGACTGAGGGATTTCCTAGGACATGGGACTTTCCATGCTAAAACAAGGAGAGCTGGTCACCCTAAGTAGACGAGTTATACTTTTCTGGTTCTTCCCTACTGACTATGTGGACTAACTGAATTGCTTACCATCCCTTTCCATGAATACCCCAACACCAGGGGAGATGAAATGGCCACTTTCTATAAAGGCCTTAATAAGCCTGCACTGCTGTGTGTGGGTAATCCTGACTCCCCTACTCCCCACCATAAAAAGAGTAAGTAATTACTAAGTGGGCCATCTTAAGAATTTAAGAAGTGGGGTCTTGCTGTGTTGCCCAGGTTGGACTTGAACTCCTGGGCTCAAGAGGGCCTCCCGTCTCAGCCTCCTGAGTAGGTGGGACTACAGGCATGCCAATGCACTGGGTTTAGGAATTTGAGTTTTGTATTACAAATTTGCACAGAAACAAATTATATAACACATATATGGCCAACAAATCCCCCACAAAACATCCCATTAATAATCAAGAGCATTATTATTATTCTGCCTCCAATTATTATTTTGTCTTCAATGGAAAGGCACAAAAAAGGTGCTCTTAGAGCATCTGAATTTATATAAGTCTTATCAGATGTCATGTGACCACTGGGCCCAGAAAAGTTAAAGGATGAAAAAAAAAAGTATATTCATAAACATGTCTTAATAGCAAAAGGACGTGATATGACAGACCTCCAGACGTAAGATTCTTTGTTTACAGAGACAGTGTTGGCAGTTATGGTAGTAAAGAAATGGCTCTAGGCCAAGAAATGGATAGAAAAGTGGTAGTGAAACAACATGAACTCGTGCTTTTCTCACTAGACAAGGTAAATAAGTAATGAAAAAAGCATCAATAAACTCACACACAAAAGCACATTACATACATCTGCTTCTCCCACCTTTACAGGCTGTACCGCAGGGTCATCAGGAATTCTCATGCACGTACTGTAGCTTCAATCTCTTCTGTGACTCTGCACTTGCTGGCAATCTTACCTTTCACTCTCAGTATTTGCAAACACAGCAGGACTTAGTATTTATGATATTTACTTATCCTTGTTAAAGCTCCAAATCGAAGAATTAAGGTTGTTTTACTGGAGGCAGGGACAATAAAGTAGAAAAAGCAGCCCCTTTCTTCTTCCTGCCTATTCCTAGGATTTAGTTTCCCTGGCTGATGGTGTTTTGGGGACATTCTTTGCTTTGTAAAGCTACTAGATAATATTATCTTGGACTATAAAATAATGGCTTGTTGGTTCTAGAGGGAGTAAAAGCTAAAGTAAATACTAGATCTCATCATCTGTGAAGACCGTAGCTTGCTGAAGTCAGTGCTATTCTAACTACTTTACCTCGTCCTGCAAAGTATGAATGATTAGATAGTGTTTCACAGACACAGTCCTCTGGACTCTTCCAGAGGTTTTTTCCCGCACAAGAACAATTAATAAACTACCATCCAACATCACTATGCGATCAGTCATCGGGGACTCCCATCCCCAAGTCCCTATCCTGACTTACTGTAAGCACCGAGGGAGAAGCTGTAAAGTACTATCTAATTCAGACCCCTCTCCGGTTCCCTTGGGTATTAATTATGCAGCCACAGAAGCCAGTGCATAATGGGAAGGTGACACACTTCATTCCCCAAGTACAGACACAGGGGGTGTGGCTTGCTTCAATGTGGGCAGGGCCAACACAGGAAGGAAGAGGACAGAGGACACCCATGAGCCCCCAACAGAGCACAGTTTTGAGCAGAATAGGTCATCACCCCAAAGCCAGGGGTAGGAGGCCCATGTGGGACAGTCTAAAGCACCAACCAACCACAGTCCCCAGGCTTAATATCCATTCCTTCATCAAAAGGCCCCAAATCTTCAGAGAACTCCATTACTAAAAAGGAAATGTGCGAACCACCACTTTTCCTTTCTGCAGAATGGGGTTGGGGTCACCTGTGAAGCTATGTTCTACAGCTTCCTCTGAGGTCTCCCAGGCAATGCCCTCCGAGGGAGGCCTGCTCAGGAAATCGCCTTGGTGCTTACAGGCTGAATTGGTAGAGGATTTGGCCCACGTATCGAGGCAACTCTTGCAGAGGGCAAATTTAATACAGAAACTCCCACTCCAGAGAACAGAAAGGCCACTGGTTTCCTCTGTGACGGAAGGAAAACAGATTGTAAAACACTGAAAATATAGAAGATAAATGTTGAACAGAAATACAATTATCCTTCTCAGAGGAACACCAGAATCACCATTCACAATGAAAACTGGGGTAATAAAAATAATCAAAAGGAAAGCAGCAGCTCATCTGTCTTAGATTTTTAATGGCTCTTCTGTGGCTCAATGTTTGTACATGCTTATCTGATTCAGTCAAGGACAGAAGAGTGGAGGGAGCGTATTTTAAGTGATGAAACCCAGCTACTGAGCTGGGAAAGTCAATGATACTTAGCTTGGGTACAAGTTTCATGGGTTTTAAGAAAGCTCATGTCATTCTTAAACTGTTGGAAAGTATGACATTTTAGTTATAAGGTTATTTAGTTAACTGTGAGATTTATGTGTGTGTGTTGATGCTCTTCTAGTTTAAAAACACATCGGATTAAGGGGCCGGGCACGGTGGCTAACGCCTGTAAGTCCCAGCACTTTGGGAGGCTGAAGTGAGTTCCCTGAGCCTAGCAGTTGGAGACCACCCTGGGCAACATGGCAAAACCCCACCCCTACCAAAAATACAAAAATTAGTCTCATAACCTGGTCTCAAAATAAATAAATAAAAATTTAAAATGCTGTAAGAAAACACATCAAATTAAGTAAAACTTTTGAAAAGAACCTAAAGCACACAGCTGATGGAATTATAGTTCACTTTGCAACTACTGGGCAATATGCCAATTAACAGTAAATATAAAAATGTCCCATCAGTGGCTTTCATTACTAGGGGAAGACGCCCTCCCTCCCCTCCCTGTCCAATAAACAAGTTTGAAATCAATTGTTGATACGAAGAAAATGAAATGCGGAGACCAAATAAATGATGAGGTCCATTCTAAAAATATCTCTGGATGCTGTCATCTGGTCTCTGGTGAGAGCAAGTCCCTCTATAATCTTGGCATCTGTAGGGAAGACAAGTTTCTGCCTAATTATCACCATAAATCACATGATACTCTAAGAAAGGAAAATGCCTCCAAAAACTACACACAGCATAACAACATACATGTTCCTACTGTTGTCCTCCCACAACTTAATCCACTGTGAAAATTTTTTCAGTGGTGTTTTTATCTTCTTGGCAGAGAAGAACAGAACAGGAACCCAATACTAAATAGGACATGGAAGAAAAAAGAGATCATAAGTTGAAACCTTCACATCCACAAATCCATGAAGGTTATCAACTGTTTTCCTAGCTAGACAGAACTAGACGATTTGAGGTAAGTTTGCCCCACAAGTAAAAATAAAGTGAAACACCACTTTCCTCACTCTTTAAAAAGAAAGATAATTTTAGCCAAACTTTCAACCCCTGGAGCAAGCTGGGGACTAAATATGGAACACTTAGGATAGAAAAGGAATTGATATTCATGCAATCTGACAAGGAAGTCGCACATGGACTCCCGACGACAGGGGTGGGTTTCAGAGTTTGAATATTTCTATTCAAACACTCAAAGAAATGTCTGCCTGATGCCATCTCTGCTTCATTCCCAGAGGACTTCAGGGACACGCAATCCACATGAGCCACAGTCATCTGCCAGCATCCACAAGGCTTGTGTAGCTGGTGTCACCCCAGGAAAACAATGCTTTTGCAGGTCTTGGGTTAGGCAGTCACATCTAATTTTGGAGCACCAAAATGGCACAGGTCCCTTGGAGTTCATCTTCCAGGCAAAACTTATGCAGCTCAGGAAAACACGCTTTGGCTTAATTTGGTCATTTTTCAATATCTTCTAGACTGAAATGGGTGATGAAAGAGTTAGAGAGGTTCATGGGAACCAGCCTGATGGTCGCTGACGGCAGGGGCCTGGTCGATGAGAATCCAGTCCTCCGCCTGCGATGCACACCAAACAGAGACATCCTCCATGTCTGCCAGACAGGAAAATTTAGGAGGTGTAGCTCTGTTAAAATCGCTTTTGGCAAAGGCTGTCAAGTTGCCATTTCAGGCACTGAACAGTTTATGAGGGAAACAACAGGTATAGAAGTTTAAGCCAGGATGGCGGCCAGGTTTGTATTCCGCTGAGGAGCCTCCCTAAAGGAAAGTCAAATTTCCAGGAAACCTACCTCATTGACTCTGGCAATTTCTAACAGGCAAGTAAAGCACCTGTGGAGAAAGTGAGGATGTTACAGGGAAGCTTAGAATGAGCTTTCCATGGCAAAGAAGATAGGATGATACTAGAAAGGTACACAACTATACACACTATTAACAAAACCCCTTCATTTGTGTAAAACACAAGCTTGACTTGTGTAAAGGCTGCCTTGTACTGCCTCCCAGTAACTCCTGGGCTTGGTCAAGGCAGCAGGTGAACCAGTCTGGGAAGGCTGGTGACAGGGCCCTCCAGAGCCTTCGCCTCCAGGACACCTCAGAGCCTAGACCTGGAGTAGACTGCCCTTCCAGCCAGCCTTTGTGCTGTGCTGATAAAACCCAAGGGAGACACACAGGGAGAGCGGTAGTCATCCTCATACTTC